AAATTACTTTTCAATTTCGACTGGACTTAAAGAGAAGGTTTATCTAATTGCCATTAACTACCACGCTGCTGTGTGCTCAGTGGCAACCTTTTGTTTTGTGTTTTGTGATAGCTGTGCAGTTTTTCGATTCCACTTCACGCCATGGGGCGACAGTCTTCGAGGGGCCGAATAGTGCGGCATATAGCTCTGTGGGGCACAGGTCTTCTCGCGTTTGGCGTTGCTGGCGCCATAATCTGTGGTATTATCAACACCTTGTCCGAGATTATGTTCACATTAAACCTGGTAATCGCAAGACATATGTTTTAGCTTACCAAAAGCCACGTATGACAATGACGGTGCCCTGGCGAATAAACTTATTTCTTTGTGTTCGAGATCGGAATGTTAGCTCTGGCAGCTACATTCTTGCCAGTTCCGGAAACTGCGAACGCCCGGGCCATTCGGGGGATCATTACTGGCGTGCAGAACATGCTACGGCGAACCCCTGCAAGGTTTGTAACCTTAGGAAAGCATACATTGAAAACAGAGAACGAAAAACCAACTTGTTAGTTCATGCCATTAGAAAAGGTGGCCCTTCTCACATGGATAATACAGAACGGAAATCACATAAGAGAAAACCAGCCCAAAAATGTGACCCAAAGGTTTTCTAGTCTAGCCTGCGATCAGAAAACGTTATGATAAACTGCAAACTTTTTTTTTGTAATTGGGTAGGATGTGTTACTTTTTGGGGTCTACCATCGAGCTCCAATCGATACCTCAGAGCGAGAACCGCTCAGTATAATAGGCTTTCCTGCAGAGACTGAGCGGTTCTCGCTCTAAGGTATCGCAATTCAAATTAGAAGCGCGAAAATTTTACCTTCAATGGGACACCTGTCTATGATTGAAGCGCAGAGCTGCTGCGCGCCAACAACGTGTCTCGCTGGGTGTCGCGGGTCAGTGTGTGCACTGCGGTCATGCTAGCTGTCGGAGTCAACAGCATGCCCACAATAACATCATTCTTCATTTCAAGACGGAGGTACAAAACGCCATTGCTTTTCGACATTACAGTCCTCTAAAACTCTCAGGGTGTACGGTGTACCAATGTCGTTCAGTGTCCATTTCATTGTGTTTTTGTTTCATAAAATTGTCTTCATGTGCAACACAGTGTGTTTCCCCGGCTACCGTTGCCGATTTGGCCACCTCCGTGCTCACCTGATTCTGATTGGTGCGAAATTTCTCTCTTAGTTTTTGAGGTGAGTTTACATGCGCAACATTGAAACCTGACCTAATAAGCTGAACGTAAACTCAAATAAGTTAAGGCGTGTTTCACTTAGACAAGCTTGTAGCGGCGTGTGAATTCGGGTCCCAAAATCGTTGGTTCGCCTACCCCACCTCCACCATCGACCCCTATTGTTTACATTGCCTCTCAAAAAACTTTAATGTACTCCGGTTCAAGTTGGGGCACCAGTCGTAACATGGTTTTCAGCACGATTAAAATAAGCCTGTTCTTTATTTCAATCCCTGCTAATAAAACGTTTCTCTCTTTGATGTTATAGTGCTCGCTTGTGACCACGATAAGCTTGGTTTACGCATGCTTCACGACGATTCACGTCAGCTTGATTGTATACCTTGCTGAACTTCTCCGTGTGCCTGCTGTGAAGCTACATTCTACGCTCCAAGCCGCGAGTGAACTAGGAACCTTTGTAAGAGTTCAGAGCATATCCAAAAGCTTCCTGGGGATAATAGTTACACATATCGACCATGCAGCAATCCACTTCCACCCCAAAGTACTGTTTTATCGATCTTGACCGCATTCGACGATAACATTACTGTCTCCAAGGCCATGAGGGCAAAGCTTCAAGAGCAGAAAGTATTCTTTGTCTTCAGCGCACTCACATTTTAGAACTACCGAATAGCCAGCTAGCATGGTTTGTATATAGAATCGCAAGAGTTC